ATCGCTTAAGCCCAGGAGTTGGAGGTTGCTGTGAGCTGTGATGCCACAGCACTCTACCCAGGGTGACAGCTTGAGGCTCTGTCTCAAAAAAAAAAGGCACAGGGCAGAGCAGTTGGAGTACCCTGAAGTCTGGGGAATGTCAACAGACTTTATAAAATGGTAAGAAAGAAGAATTATAAGCCTTTAAGAATGGAATTACTTGAGTGGTGCCTGTGACTCAGTGGGTTGGACACCAGCCCCATATACCAAAGGTAGTGGGTTTCAACCTGGCCCCAGCCAAACTACAACCAAAAAATAGCTGGGCATTCTGGTGGGCACCTGTAGTCCCAGCTACTCAGGAGGCTGAGACAAGAGAATCCCCTAAGCCCAGGAATTGGAGGTTGCTGTGAGCTGTGACACCACAGCACTCTACCAAAGGCAATAAAGTGAGACTCCTGTCTCTTAAAAAAAAAAAAATGGAATTACTTGATGAAATTTGAGGAGAACTGTTTCAACAACAGGCTCTCCACTATAGAATCTGTCATAGGTTATAGAGGGAAGAAAAAAAACATAACATAAATCCTACATTTTAGGGCTGTAACATCGTATTTTATTTAATATCTATTCAGGAGTGGGGACAAATAACAAGCTAAAGAAGCATACTTAACATGGTTCATTCCTCTATCATACGAAAACCGTATGAAACTATACTTCTAGTAAAATACTATAAAAGGAGTCAGGGTCACAAAGAAGGGAAGTTGCTAAGGAAAGCATCGAAGACTACAATGAAAGTTAAAAGGTTACCTGTGCTCATCTATAAAATAAGACAGTTGTATCCAAAGTCTGTGGAAAATTATTTCCCATGTTTCAAAATATGCTGCTCCAAACTTTATGTCAAAACAAAGCAAAGCAAATTCCCCCCAAACCAGTAACCCAAATACTCACCATATTGTTAACATTCTTTAAGATAGTAGTGAGGCCACTTACAACCAAAGAAAATTTGTATTTGGAAATATTGATTAAACATTCCTTGTTGTGTTCAGTACTGACTTTGGTGTGAGTATTCTGCTGTCCTGTTTTTATTGGAAGCTAAGAGAGGAAAAAACATAGTAAGAGTTTATCCCTGAAAAGGACTAAAAATAACTTTATTTCTCATTAAAAATCATGACATTTTAGGAAAATTTTACCAACCAGTTACCTATATTTTTATCTCAAGCTCTAATTTTCAATCTATGACAGCATTTATAGCAAATCTTAAATTCTTTGGTAATTTTATTACAGTTTTCTTTCTGGAAGTCAAATCTCTACAAAAGTGTTTCTTTACCCAGCACTGTATCAGAAAGAATGACTCACAGAAACAAAGTTACTTCCTTATAGCTAAAAATTATTTTAGAGAACGTCTGTAATAAAGAAACTCAAACATTAAAAGAAAAACAGATCAAGAAAATCTGTGCCCCATCTCTCATTAATAATGACAAATAACTGCTGACTGCTCAGAAATAAGAAAAAATTATAAAATCCGAAAGAAACACTGGAAGAACACTAGAACACTAACTCTAATAAGATAACCACCCTCACAGCTACACAACTGAAGGAGTAACAGAATAGGTAAACCGAATAGGTAAACACCGAACAGAATAGGTAAACAGAATAGGTAAACACTGGAAGAAACACTAGAACACTAACTCTAATAAGATAACCACCCTCACAGCTACACAACTGAGGGAGTAACAGAATAGGTAAACCCCATGAGAAAAAATATCCTTTAAAGAAAACTCATCTTCATTTTTCTGAGAGTGAGTTAAGTTCTACTTGTTAGAATTTCATCTCTACTCTGCTCAAAAGTAGTAATCTGTATTTATAAAGCATCATGAATATATCTATTGTTTAACATTAGACCTGTCCTATGCTAACAGAGAACCCTAAGTGAGCTTCCTCTGTGGAAGAAACACATCTGAGTCCAACTTTTTCATTTTTAAAATGATTCAACTGAAGATGGAAAGAGACCCACTGAGTACATGCCCAAGTTTGCTAAGTCAGTTAATAAGAAATGATTAAAATGACAGTAAAGCAATATTAAATAAAAGTGATAGGCACATTTTGGGAAAAAGACCAAGGGCATTCCTAAGTGTATACTCAGGGAGATGGTAGTTAGAGCATACAAAAAGTAGAATATAGTTTTTGATTGTCTTATAGTTATTAATTGTGAGTAAAAGGGTATTATTTCATACAGAATGCTGGGAAAGGAAGAAAGGAGGTTACCAGCTCATTTCTAGATTGGTCAGAGTAAAAAACCAACATACAGGCTTGGCACCTATAGCTCAAGCAGGTAGAGCACCAGCCACATACATCGGAGGTGGAGGAGGGTTCAAGCCCAGCCCGGGCCTGCCAAACAGCAATGACAACTACAGCCAAAAAAAAGCCGGGCATTGTGGTGGGCACCTGTAGTCCACCTGCAGGAGAATCTCTTTAGACCAAAAGAGTTTGAGGCTGCTGTGAACTGTGATGTCACCACACTCTACAGAGGGTGGATTAGTGAGACTCTGTCGCCAAAAAAAAGAAAACCAACATATAATTCTCCTCCCTCCAAAAGACAAGGAAATTATAAAGGTATCTATATAATGGTAGCCAACAGAACAAAAAGATAAATTGTGCTGGTGTGTGTTGTATCAACTATGTTAAACTGGGATTTACTTTCCCAGAATTCCATTCACTATACGGTTCTAGGTTAGAGTTAAAAAGTGTAATTTGTACAGGTTGAGTATCCCTAATCCAAAAATCTGAAATCCAAAATGTTCCAAAGTCCAAAGTGCATACCAACATGACTCTCAAAGAAATGCTCATTGCAGGATTTTAGATTTTCAGATTAGGGATAACTGGTAAGTATAATGGAAATACTCCCAAACCGGAATCTGAAATCAAAAATGCTTCTGGCCCCAACCATTTCAGATAAGAGATACTCAACCTGTATAAGATTTGTTGAAATACAGAAGTGAAACAGTACCTATTATTCTCTGCAAGTCTTTACCTTCAGATTCAATGAGAAGCAGATCAGAGGTACCCCGGGAGTTCTAGCTTTTACTCTCCTCCTTCTGTTTTTCCTTTTGATCCTGCTCACCTTGCTAACCCTCAGTGACCCACCATAGATGCTTGGCTGCAAACCAACACAGCTTTGCAAGACAAAGTTTACATGGCAAGATCTTCCCATGAAGAGTTCCTAAATGGCTGGATGCACTGGTTTCTCATATTTCCCTAAAAGCTCCAACTTGTCTGCCCATTGTCACAGACTTAGAGAATCTGAGCAGTGACTTGTTCTCTGATCCTCCAACTCCTCCTTCCAGTTCTTCACCTCTCTAGTCCTATCAAAATTGTCTACAATCTAATTTCTATAATAAATTCCTTATCCCATACATAATCTGCTTCCCAAACTGAATCTTGATACACAAAAACTTTACAAAAACTTTCTAAATGTCAAAATAATATGCTAAGAAAGCAAATAACATAGACCACATGATGACACTTAAATAAGACTTACATAAACATAAATGTAACATAAAACAGAATGACAGAAATGAGTCTAGACTAGCTTCACCTAACAATAGGATAATCTACAGGATCTATCTTCGAGTTTAAAAAAAAAAAGGTGGAGATACATACAAACAGTAGGTACCATTCATCTAAGAAGAGCAAAGAGATAGAAATAGAAATATACTAGGTGTATCTTCTTATACAGGGTGGACATAAAGTTTGTATGTAATTTAAAATAGTTTAATGTAGTAAACTGCACATGATATTTATGTCCACCCAGTATTAAGAAACAACACAAAACAGCAGAAGGATGAAATATGAAATAACCACTTTGTAGTGGTTAACCTTTAGGGAGTGAAAAGAAGGTAGAAGTGATAGAGTATGATCTATATTCCTTTTTATTTAATTTTATTTTAGAACAACGTAACTTACATAAGCATTAAATTAAAATTTAAAAAGCAAATCTAGAATCAAAAATACATGAACTAAAATTTGTATCTAATTCTTTAATGGTATAATCACAAAGAGAAGAACTATTCTAAGTGATTTCAAATTATATTGACTGTATACTATTAGCGGAAGACACTCTAGGGACAAAAAAAAAAAAAAAATTGAAGATATGGGTGGCGCCTGTGGCTCAGTGAGTAGGGAGCCAGCCCCATGTACCGAGGGTGGCAGGTTCAAACCCAGCCCCGGCCGAACTGCAACAACAAAAAAAATAGCCAGGCCTTGTGGCGGGCACCTGTAGTCCCAGCTACTCGGGAGGCTGAGGCAAGAGAATCGCCTAAACCCAGGAGTTGGAGGCTGCTGTGAGCTGTGTGACGCCTTGGCATCTACCCAGGGCAATAAAGTGAGACTCTGTCTCTACAAAAAAAAAAAAAGAAGAAGAAGATAAATCTTGATCCTATATACAGTGCAGGATCAAGGACATGAATAATTATGTGGCATTTTAATTCTATCACTACTAGTCTCATTAAAAACTTAGAATCTCAGCATAGGAGGTAAGAAGAATGGTAAGTAAAACTGTAGTCTTTGAATTCGAAGTATCTCTATGAACTCAATGTATTTTATCTCATATTTAAAAAACATTTCCGGGCAGCACCTGTGGCTCAAAGGAGTAAAGGAGTAGAGCGCCAGCCCCATACACCAGAGGTGGTGGGTTCAAAACTGGCCCTGGCCAGAAAAAAAAAAACAAAACATTTCCACCTATGTCCAATGAAAATGCCTAGAAATATATAATCCCATCATAATAATGACTAATGACCAATCCCATAGTAATCCCTCTCCAACCGTAATCTTGAAATACCATTTCCCACATTACCCAGTAAAAGGAATCAGGACCCTGATAGGAAAGAGCTAATTCCATGTCTGGGCAAAAAGGTACCTGAGGAGCCTAGAACATCTTGTCATATCAGACCATAACACACACTACTTAAGAATGGAGTCAAAAATACTTAGGTATGAATTTTAAAGAGGTCCCACAGGCCAAAAATGTAATAACATCAACACTATTAAGGATAGCAATTTTAATTTATTGAAACATCAAACTGTTTAAATCCATACTACTGCTCCCATGTACAACAGAGTAATTTATAGCAAAACAACACTTCCCTCCCCCTGCTTACTTTTTAACAAAAGATGAAATATAAAAACCACCTGTTTAAAGAATTCAGCGAGCTACAGAAGGAATGAGAATTCCAAAAGGAGTAAGCTATGGTGAGGTAAGGTGATCTTCTGCAGTTGCTTTTACCTTGGGGCATTTGCAAAATTTAAGCAGAGAGATTGAAAAATAAGGCTTTCCTAGGCAAAGGACATCTACTGAGGGAAAGAGAAACAATGGGAGATTCCAGTGTTCACTGAGGGCTAGACAGAAAACTGAAGACCTGAGGGGGTCTCATATTCAGAAGTGGGTGGAAGAGTGTAACAGGCTAAGCCAAAAACCTGAAAAGCAGAGCAAAGTCTGAAAACCTTGCAGCTTTAAGACAACAAAAGATTAGAGTTCAGAACCTGCTAGTGGAAGACCTTAGTAAATACACACAATTCTCAGTTATAAGCCCTGGAGGGCTATATCCTCTAAAAAGAGGAGCAAATGGAAATCTTACACACTACTAAATCAGTAAAAGCCTTGGAAACTTACATTATCTGCAAAAACTGAATATACACACAGCAATTTCACTAAATATACACCCAACAAAAATGTGTATATGTGTTCATGAAAAGACATACACAACAATGCTTACAGCAGCACTTTTAATTTCCAGAAACTGGAAACAATCCAAATGTCTATGAATAGCAGAAATGGTTAAAAAAAAAATAGTATATAAAAATTATAAAAGTAATGAGAATAACTTTAAACTACAAACTTAATTTCACAAATACTAACAAAAGGCTCGGCGCCTACAGCTCAACCGGCTAAGGCGCCAGCCACGTACACCTAAGGTGGCGGGTTC